GGGGGGGGGACTATAGTCATTAAGAAACTGTAGGTAGCGGTAGCTTTTACTATGAAGAAATGGGAATTCCGAACTAAGCAATGCGCATGCGCAGTTGCCAAATAACGTCCGTGAATTATCTATAAAAACACAGTGAGCATGTGCTTGGAAATGCTAGACAGCCAGTGAGCATGTGCATTTAAGTGATGTTATTGAGCCATGTCGAGTATGTGCATTTACCAAAAAGAGGTTGCAGGAACCAAGTAGCGGATGTGAAGACGTCTCAGGAACCAAATAGCGGCTGCGAAGAGGGTATGATTACCAAAAAATTGTCTGAGGAATGAAACAGCGGCTGCGAAGAGGGTATGAAATAGAAACGGAAAAAGTACTGTATGTATTATATGGATGGAAAATAATGAGAACTCGAGTGGGTCAAAAGCATCTATTTTGCCTATCTTTACAACCGGTGTACGGTAAGAAATGCCCCGGAAAAAATGGCCCAGGAAAAAATGGCCCCGGTAAAAATGGCATCGGTAAAAATGGCCCCAAATGACAGGTAGGTAAAAATGGCCCAATAATAAAATTCTGTATTAAAACTGATTTTTTTTTAAAAATCATTATATGCATTTTTATAATTTAGTTTTTAAAAGGAATCTAACATCAAATAAATTGCCATTTACATTTTACTTTTTGCAGAAATTACATATTCAATGATAAAATATTCAAAGATAAAAAAAAAACCATTTAAATGTTAAAAAATAGCAACAACATAATCAATAAATCAACATAAATCATGCATTTATTAATACTAAAATAATTTATTTGTGGCCAATTTAAAGGAAGCGGAATCACAATTTTCCAGAAATGCAATCCGGGTTGGTAAACCCCACAAACAATGAGGTTATATAAACATCAAATTATTATTTTTTTTTTTTTTTTAGAAAAAGAGAGTTCTACAATCGTAATTAAAGGGTTTGGAGTGTATTTGCAAGTATTTAAGGTAATTGAGCAATATGAGTACTGTCTCTTATACACATCTAGATGTGCATAAGAGTACCAAGTGAGTCAATCACAATTGAATTGTTTTCTACAGTGTGTTTTAGGAGGTTTTTGGGATTTAGCAATACCATTTGATCCTACCATAATTACTTTATCCTCACAATTACACGCCATTTTAATTCTCAGCATAATTGCCATATTTACATAACTATGTATATAATATAGTATCTCAGTTTACATTATTTAGTATAGTTTTAGGCACTTAAATTTACTTGGCGGGGAGTAGAAACCAAGTATGCAATTAAATAAGTTGCTTAAATAAATGTATTCCTAATTATTCAGCTTACTTTAAAAACAATATTTGATTAACAAATATTTCTTTGAAGTAACTCTAAGCAGACCATTTGTTGAAGTAAAGTAAGCCTCCCTTTTCCCATACATGAACTTGTCATTCAAACACACAATTGGTCCACATGCTTTAACTACTATTTATTTGCACTGTTTATAACATGTAAAGTTATTTCATTTGATACTTAACAAAAGTGAATTTTGTGGTTATCTATGAGTTGCATATTTTGGTAGTTGAAGTACTGTATGTATGTCATTCTTCTACTTTCTTGTGGAATAACGTTTTTAAACTTATTTCAACTATCAAAAAATGTTCAATGGCGGTTGTTTGCTGATAATCTCTCAGTATATTATTTGCATCTGTTGTGTAACTGTATTCCTTATTGATTCAATTCTTGCTTATTACAGTATTTAAATATTTGAAGATTTAAAAAAAAATATCATTTCTAAAACTGAATTTTTTCATTGGGGCCATTTTTACCTACTTGTCATTTGGGGCCATTTTTTCCAGGGCCATTTTTTTCCTGGGCCATTTTTTTCGGGGCCATTCTTACCTACATTATTTACAACCAGTTCATCAGTGTTCGTCAGGGGGAATTGTAATTAAATTATCGTAAAAAAAATTATATTAGGCTCCATTGTCATTCTTACATACATAGACCTATGCATTGACAATCCCATAAAAAATAACCACAGAAACTGATGACACAACCTAGGGCCTACTACCAGCCAAGTAGTAGAGTCAGGGTATTCCACATTTAATGTCGAAAAATACGGTGCCTTAGGGTTAGGCTAACATTCGTTTTATCATTTTATTATTTTAACATAAATTTTATTTTAAAAAAATAATCTTTAATTCATATTCAGTATTATGCATATTGCAGTAAAAAATTAGGCCTATCCTTAACAATAAATAAGCGTAGGGCTATATTTATTGATCTATAGGAAAATACAGTTACAGATTTATTTATTGAAACAACTTGAATACAATAACAAAATTTACATATAAGATAAATTTGGAACTAGCTGTATACACAAATAAGCTACAGAAGTTGCGGCATTTTTTTATAGGAAATATTTCTTGTTTACTTTATATCAAAGGTTAAATTTTCCTGCATTTTAAAGTGTAGATTATTTTTTACCCTTATGAATCTTTATAACATAATACTATGACATCACTTCTATAGTAAACTTATAGAGGTACTCTCTACGAAAATATCCAATTAAAAATTTACCGTATACTTGTTTGAAAACATGACAATGAAGTTGGCTTGGTGTGCTAGTGTTAAGTTGCCAAATTCAGCAATAGATCTGTGGATGTTTTTAACTTAATAATTTTGATATTTCTGATTACTTAAAAGTGATATCAAACCCTACTTTAATATACCTGATGTATGTCAACTATTGTATTCATTCTAGGCCTAGTCTACTGTAGTTAGTACTTAGCATGTCAATCACACTATGTGTCTTAGCATAAATTGACAACAATGATAGGAATGCAAAGTGGGAAATGACCTTACCTTGAATTAAGTGAGAAATGATAAATGAAAAAAATTATTTTGTAAAGAAAAAAACCAAAAATGCTTGTTTTTTTATTATTGATAATTGCTGCGAAGCAGCCAATTCATATTCTTGACAGCAATTTGACCTCTGAAAGGTCATTGTTTGTCAAAAAACAGGCACCTAAGACGACTGAAAAGCAGAGTTTCCTTCTTTCGTTCTGCCGGGTAAAATCAATTACTTTAGGCGACGTTTGTAGACTATCCTACTCGTACCAACGTCCGAATGTTGCGCTAGCCAGGCCTAGACTAGCTAGGATGGTAGGCCTAGCCTTGAAGGTACGAAGGTCCCAATGAAAAACAACGTCACTCCTTGATAGCTAACATTGTCTATTTAACATCACAATAATTCATTATTAGACCTATAGTTGTTTTTTGAGTTGTACTCCACAAATCCCAGCCGATACCTTGCATAACTCGTTAATGTCTTGTATCTATTGTTGTGACGTCATGGCTCGCTGGATCACACCAATTTAACCTCCTTGCTCACACACTTGTGTTGTCTCGCACTTGTGATCAAATAACACGCTGGCTCGCACTTTGGCAACACTCTTTGGCAGCCAACTCGCTCCTAGAAAACCCGCCCTTGGAAACTTGCCCCATAAAAAAATGTACACTTCCTAGACCATGCAGTCTTCAAAATAAAAATTGTAACCTTTGGTAATTAACTACATTTTCCACATACATAGAATTTTTTGAAATTTTATTTTAAAAAACCTTAACCATAATTCACCACTATAGACACTTTTGACAAAAAGTAAAAATTACGACTTTGTTACCCAATGGGAAGTGTTCTAATATAGACAATGGGTCGTGTCTCATATTATTTGTTATATTTTTCTTTTCTGTTCTGGTTCTGTTTCTTAGCAGTTTCTTTACCCAGTCAGCAGCATGCTGACTGGGTTCTGTTTCCTAGCAGTTTCTTTACCCAGTCAGCAGCAGCTGACTGGGTTCTGTTTCTTAGCAGTTTCTTTCTTTCTTTCTTCCTTCCTTCCTTCCTTCCTTCCTTCCTTCCTTCCTTCCTTCCTTCCCCTTCCCCTTCCCCTTCCCTCCCTCCCCTTCCCCTTCCCTATGGAGGTTTTCTCTAGGGATCTAAACATTTCAGAGGTAGGGCATTTCTCCATATGTAAAGGGTTTTTCTCAGTGGGTTGAGGAAAGTTTTATCCGAGATCTCAGAATTTCCCAGAAATCGTGTGGAGTAAATTTCAGTTAAGACAGTAAAGCAGTTCGTTGTACAATCAAAAGATATTGCAAAATTCAGTTTGTTTAATTGCATTTAATATACCTGTGTAGGTTAATACATTGTTGATACATGAATGAGGCCCATGGATTTAAATTTGGATGTTGTTTCTATTCCATGGTCCACCAAAACGACAACGAAAAACTACAGGAAAATGTGTGTGTGTTTGTGGAACAAGCACGTATTCCTGACTTGATTCTGATTGGCCAGTTGTTAACTTTGGTTGACATTGCATAAAGGTCCATCACAAAAAATTATTATGCTTCAAATAAACATTGGAAAAAAAAATGTATTTAATTGTAATCACAGATTTCCAATTTCTTTTTTCTTGTAGTTTGGGCAATTTTGCTATGGCTAAAGGACAGTTGTTTTGTAAGCCACACTACAAACAGCTATTCAAACTGAAGGGCAATTATGATGATGGATTCACTCCAGGTGCAAACCGACCAGGTAATTTCTATAGAACCTAAACAACATGGACACGGATGAGCACGCTTTGTATAGTTAATCAGTTTTTGTATGAAGTTAAACCTAAAGCACTTCATTATTGCTGTCTCTTATACACATCTAAACCCTATCACTTTTTTTCTTCTCCTTTTTACTCAAAAAGAAACTTAGTTTATTAACCATCATTCCATCCTATAATTGGTGAGTTATTTGTTGTTGGATCCGGAATTCTCCCTTAAACCAGTGAGGAACGTTTATTCCATAAAATCTTTAAAGGTTGTATTTATTAGATATATTTTAAAAAAATGAATATACTTATTGTTATCTCGATCAGCGCCCCCCCCCCCCCTCCGGTCCCCCACTTTTGGACATTTGTGGTTTCTCCCCTGCATACCTTCTTATTAATAAAAGAATCACTTTTTTTGTAGAATCAAGATGCTAGCTCTTCGAATTGCAAAGTATGTAACAAAAAAGTCTATCCAATGGAAAGACTAGCAGCAGATGGTGCAGTGTATCACAAATCCTGTTTTAAATGTACAGAGTGCAAAGCAACCCTACGGTATGTACATCATGTTGACTGTTAGCTTTACATAGATGTTCAAAAAAATAGCAGGACATTTTAATACTGTGTTGTTCATATTTAAAAGGAGGAGAGCTGCAGAGAAAAAACAAAAACAAAGCAAAATGGTTCTACCAATTGCATCTAGACAGGGGTGGGGGGGGGGACATTTTCCCGGGTTGGGTATTTACCTTGGGTAGGAGGATTTTCCCTATGTTTCAGAAAGTTTTCATGGAGGTTTTCTCTAGGGATCTAAACATTTCAGAGGTAGGGCATTTCTCCATATGTAAAGGGTTTTTCTCAGTGGGTTGAGGAAAGTTTTATCCGAGATCTCAGAATTTCCCAGAAATCGTGTGGAGTAAATTTCAGTTAAGACAGTAAAGCAGTTCGTTGTACAATCAAAAGATATTGCAAAATTCAATTTGTTTAATTGCATTTAATATACCTGTGTAGGTTAATACATTGTTGATACATGAATGAGGCCCATGGATTTAAATTTGGATGTTGTTTCTATTCCATGGTCCACCAAAACGACAACGAAAAACTACAGGAAAATGTGTGTGTGTTTGTGGAACAAGCACGTATTCCTGACTTGATTCTGATTGGCCAGTTGTTAACTTTGGTTGACATTGCATAAAGGTCCATCACAAAAAATTATTATGCTTCAAATAAACATTGGAAAAAAAAATGTATTTAATTGTAATCACAGATTTCCAATTTCTTTTTTCTTGTAGTTTGGGCAATTTTGCTATGGCTAAAGGACAGTTGTTTTGTAAGCCACACTACAAACAGCTATTCAAACTGAAGGGCAATTATGATGATGGATTCACTCCAGGTGCAAACCGACCAGGTAATTTCTATAGAACCTAAACAACATGGACACGGATGAGCACGCTTTGTATAGTTAATCAGTTTTTGTATGAAGTTAAACCTAAAGCACTTCATTATTGTCGTTTTAGTATTATCACTACATATGCTTTGAAACACCAAGATGTAATAAAGCAATGCTTTAGTCTTCCTTTTCCTGCATATAAATGTCAATTTTAAACAACCTTCATTGCTTTGCAAACATGTTGATAGTGTGAATGGATATATTTGTTAGTCTAGTAGACATATTAGATTATTATTCTGTTTAAATACAGGATTACATGGATACGTTGTCCTCTTCACCATAAAAACAGTCACAGTTGAAAATATCATTGTCTGCCCATCTTGCAAGGCATTGATTGGCTAATCAGCTTCAGTGTTAAGCTCTGTCCAAACTATCAAATCTTATGACAAATTAATGTGATGTACCCATGTATGGTCATGATGATATCATATTACCAGTGGCGTATCTAGAAGTCTTAAAATAGAGGTGCTGATGGGGGGTGTTTGAAGGTGAAGTGGGTGGGTGGGGACTCGATGATCAGTTGAGGGGTGCTAACTCAAAATAAGGTGATTGTTGGTGATTTTTAACTACTTGCAAGTGATTTTTTTGGTGGGAGGAGATTTGGGGGGGGGCGCGAGTAATTTTTGGAGGGGTGTGCTCCCCGCGCACCCCTAGATACGCCACTGCATATTACACCAATATATGAGCATATCACAGTTTATTGACACATAGAATTTGATAGTTTTCTAAAAGCTGTACTTTCTTGGGGTATATTGCATGAAATGAAAAGTGTTGCGCCTCAAATGTTAAATTATATACTGTATTGCCTGTTACACACACTTGAATAAAAGGGTATGTTTTGTACACTGTAGATCAGTGTGTGCAAGTGTACTGACATCAAACAGAAAAATCAGACAATCAGCTAAAATATGTACAGTTTCATAATGTTAAGTATTTGTAAATCATTTATATGATTTTACTGATCATGAAATAGTTTTTATACATAATATTTTAGATATGATGTTTTGATAGCTGATATATATTTGATTTTTCCTGTTTAACTATAAGTCAGTCCAATAAATCTATATGTAGGATATTGTTGTCATAATTTCTTACTTGCATAATTTATTTCTTATCCCCTTGGCATGTGATCAAAGGTAGGGTGAATGTAAATTGTGTTTAGTGTACGTGTTTGCTATTATAAAAATGGGTTGATCATTTTTTTAATTTTTATATACCTCTATATCTAAAGGAGTTCTATATGAATATTAGAATAATATTTCTATTCTCTCTTGTTGAAAAACATTATGCATATTTCCAATTTTCTATAATTTGTTTCCCCCCACCCCCAATATTTCTTCTCTGTTACATATATTTGGACAATCCAAATCCTGATTCTGTTTGCAATTGTTGTGCATTTAGGATGGTTGAGTGTAAGGGGGTTGATATAACCATACACTCATGGCTTTAATGAATTAATTTTTATTATGAATCAATTTTTGATAATTCAGTCAATGTTGATACAGATGTTATTTCATCTCTACTATCTTGGTACATATTTTGTTGCCTTTTCTCTGAATTGCTTTCCATACTTCTTTTGTGTTTTATTTCGCAAGTAGAATTCAGTGTGGGTGAAGAAAACACAAGCCCTTCAACCAATGGTGAGAATTCAATTTGAATTACATACTGTACTGCATGTTGAGTTGGGTGTTATCGTTTTAAAAGATTTTTTGATTGTGTGCATGGATTCATTAAATCTATATTTCTGCCATTGAATCCTACTGTTTTTTTTATTAATATAATTTCCATGGGGGGAAACCTTATTTTGGAAAATTTAAATGAAATAATTGAATATTTTAAAATCTAACTTGGTTTTTAGTAATACAAAATCCCAATACTGATAATAATAATAATTATTATTATAATAATAGTTGTGTGATTTTATATTCTCCACAAATATGTCAATAATCACTCAATGAATTTAGAGAATTGAAGTTGAAAGGATGATGTGCATTATAAATCTATTTTATAGGGTTCGCTATAAACAAGAAAAGCTGATAATTTGATAGCATGTTTGAGGAATATAAAATTCTGGTTCCTTGCACTTTTAATTTCCTATATATTCAAATTTAAATAGAATGTAATATCTCCTCCTTACCCACCACACCATTCTGGATTCAAACTTGCATTACTTCATTGTTCCTTGCATTTTTTCAATCATTAGTCTGTACAAGCTCTGCTTTCCATTCTCTTTATCTGTTTTCCCACCAAGTTATTTTGTCTGATCACAGTGCATGTTGTTTTTACAATTTGCAGTGGATTGTTATTTGAAACCAAACACACCATTTTGTTATAAACATTTATTATTTATAAATGTCACAAATTAAGATTCTTTAAAACTTTATTTAAACAATTTTTAATAATTAGGGATAATTTAGGAACAGGTTTAATTAATAAATTATTTATAGTTTAGAACCATCCCAAATGCTTTGATTTTTGTGACCAAGTTTGTACAACTTGCACTACTACCATTTAGTGTATCAGAATTAATAATGGAGATGATACTACGTATATGCATCCTAATCAGTTTTGATGTACATTTCTAATTTCTTTCACCAAGTGCTTTCATTAATCAAACTAGACACTTACTAACTGCAGAAAAGATGCTACCCCACTCCTGTCCTAAGATGCCCTGCTCAGTCCTCAATTAACCTACCGTACTTACATCATAGGCTCTGGGTGGTAGCATTCTAAACTTTAATACAGAAAACAATAGCTCTGTCCTCACTAAAATTTTATGTGACACATTTTTGTGATATGCCCATATATGGAAATAGTGATGTCAAATTACACCCAAATAATGGGCATATCACATTTATTTGTCATACAAAATTTAATAGTGTGCATAGAGCATTACACAGCAAACAAACAAAATTCATATTTAGGGATTAGTTTAAAATATTAAAAGTATTAATCTGCAGTCATGGAAAGTGCATTTAAAATAGTTACAGGTATTTTAATAACATTGTAACAATAATAATAAAATTAATGATTAAAATATTATAACATTAATAAAAATAACATAAATATTAATAATGATAGTGATTTGTATAGTGCCAGTAATTGCCAAAACTGACGCTCTTGGCGCTTAACATCTAGAAAGATATCACCTGGTAATGTGTGCTTACGAATCTAGTTGCTTCTCTTGCCAACAAGTTTACTAGTGCATTATTTTGTGACATCTGCAGAAAAAAAAAATGTTTGGTGCTTATTTGGAATTGAAAGAGTATTTACTTATCATTAAGAATTTTTGGAATATCAAATTAACTAAGTTTACCTGACAAGTCATTGTGCGTGCTATATGCATGAAAACATCAATTTAATATTCATACTGTATTGAAATTATATGCAAGATAATTATTGGTCAAAAAGTATCGATAATATTGCTTGTTCACATTTGCCAAAATGTCTTTAATCTTATTCGTGTAATAACAAAAAATTACAAATTAGCACCATAATTGATTCAACCTTTTTCTATTAGTGTTTCGTGACAAAATCTAACATAGTTAAAGTTTCAAAAAAGTGTTTTGTAATTATTAATAGATTCCATATCATTACATTTTTCATATGGTACTAGGTTGTTTGGTTACATTTTGGCAAATTTTCAATATAACGATTTAATACTGCATTATGTTGGAATTGCTTCCAAATTTGGATGAAAGGGTTGATCTTTTCTACCAAAAAAAGAGACATTTTAGGATAGGAATGATTTATTTAATCAAGATAGTATACATAGAAATACAGGGACAGTGTTGTAGGGATAGTGTTGTGGGATTTTTTTTAGGATGAATGATACAATGAAGCTGTGGTTATAATAGATTTGATTTCTTATGTACTATGAAATAACTTTGTAATGAATAAATATGCTATGCCTAACATTATATGGACTGTTCTCATATTTACATTTGTCTTCTTTTCATTTTTTTAATGCATTCTTAAAATAGTTATATTTGAAAATTATAGGATCATACATTCATACATATTTTTCAAGAAATTAGTTGTTACAATTCATCTGGTTTTTTTTAAATATAAGTTGATAGAGTACTATAAAAAAATTTAACAAAATAACCATATTTTAGCATATTTTTAACATTCGTATAAATATCCACACAAAAATGGATTGGGTGCAAGAACTACAATGCATTGGTACTAATAGTGAACTTTTAAAATACAATTATATTTTCAAAATTCCTTTTAAACTGTTATTTATTATTTCTATAGTACAGTGGCAATGTGTTTAGGTAGTCGTATGTAAATTAGATAAGGTAATCAATGGTGGTCTACCCATTCACTCATTCACAAACTCTTCTTCTTATGCAACTGATATTCAATTTTCAATCTATGAGACAATTAGTTTTGATCTGGAAATTTCATAGTGATGTTTTGCCCTACCTGACATGTTATCGTACTCAGTACATTCCCAAATGGCATTGCAATACCTGCTGCTACTTAAAGAGCAGATTCAACATTAGCCGCTAAGCGCAAGCTTTTCTTTCTAGTGGTTATGACACCAGTCTATAAAGATATGGAATTTGCGTCAGGAAATAATCATAGGAATGATGTTTTGCCCTACCTGACGTGATATCGTACCGAATACTCAGTACGTCCCCAAATACTAGTGAAAATACTTGCGAATTTTTTTCGCTAGTATTTGGGGACGTACTGAGTATTCGGTACGATATCACGTCAGGTAGGGCAAAACATCACTCCTATGACACCAGTCTAGATATTTGGAAGTTCGATTCCAGCCCAAAACACATATTTATTTAGTTTTCAATACGATAACAAGTCCGATAGGGCAAAACATCACTCCTTCCTAATTGTTAGTTTTTTTTTTATTCTTTTTTTTTAAATAATATTTTGCTTAATGTGATTAAGCAAAATTGACCAATGAAAACATAAAATGACCTATCTGTGCTTTATGCTGACCTTGTTTCGCTAATGTCATCTAAAGAACTTATCCTGGCTGACTCAAACTGGTAAAACTGGAAACTGGTATGTTGTTTTTGGCACAGTCAAATGTAAGACAACCATCACTGGAAACTAAGAAGAGTTTTTGGGAAACCGCGCAATACATATATGAATGAGACTGAGAGCATGGACCTTGGGTATTGAGTACGGATCTAACCTGGAGTCCTGTGATCAAAGTCAGCCATACAACAATTAGGCTTCTTATGACAGACTGCACCATACTTTTCGCCACTTTAAAAACACAGCAATTTACAACACCTCTCTGCTGCCTACAGTATCTCTGGAATTCTCTTCAGTAGCAGAACAAGGTGTAACCTGTCATTTATAATTTAGCTTAAACTATAAATAGAAAAAAAAATGGAATATCCCCACCATTGTGCAAGCTTGTTTTTTTGGTTTGTTCAATGCCCACTGTAATAGCCTGCTAATAATAACGTAATCGTTTCTCATATCAGAACATGCTCATGCTAAAAATAAACCCGATTTTTTTGAGTTTGTGTTGTGGGATAGGATATCCATCTGACTGGCTGGCAGTGGGTGGAACATTTTTAATCACCTGAAATGTTCAAGGGGGTGTAAAGTAAAAATTTCCTATGAAAAAGTGACTCCTGTGAAAATGGCCACAGGAAAAAAATGGCCCCAAATGATAGCTACGGTATTGGAGCAATTTTTTTCCAGGGCCATTTTTTCGGGGGGCCTATTTTTCAGGGACCATTTTCCCAGGGCCATTTTTGCCGACATTCATGTCCCGCGGAACCCAGTCCTGAAAGTTTGCAAAATCCTACTTCAGCACTGTCAAACCTATTGATATTGAAATGCAAATTGTATTGTTTGAGAGGACAATAAATTGATGTGTATACAAATGAGCCTCTCTAGGAATGGCTGCATGGTACAGGTGTTTTGAATATTTGAAAACAGTTGGGAGTTCATGAGAGTTCATTTGTACATGATTTCCAATTTTTTCTCCATAGCTTAGCTTTCAGTGAGTCAGTGACACTATAGAATCAATAAATAAAATATTGTCTATCATTATATATCGGAATTTCCATCAGTACATGGACTTCATTAAATTCTGATGTTGACATTTGCTAAACAGGAAGTAAAAACTTTGAACCTAATAATTATAAGGAAGTTGAAGCATGAGTGATTCATGAATTACAATGTATCATTTCTATTGTGGTCTTTGTGCTATTATATTACATTTTCTACCTTGTCCTAAATGTCACCTTGATTGATTAATTTATTACCTGAACTGTAATCACAAATCATCCAACGTATAACTACTTAAAACTTCAATTGTTTTAACTTCAAAAAAGATATAGAATAGTTGTCTGTTGTAGTGTTAATTGTATAGGCGTAGTACTTCAATTGATGTCGATGGATTGCAATTGTATGGTGTTTGAGAGTGATCGATTATCATCTCAGGAAGAAACCTGTTAAGCATCTCCATCACAAGTAATTATTTTGTTTTATATGGTTGCTCTTTTGCACATTTTATGTAGCAATTAATAACATTGTTTTATCAGTATTTAGTCTGTTTGATCTAGATTTTAATAAATGGCAAGATAGCGGTTGCCATATTTACTACAGCCGAATGCTAGCATGTACTGTACACTATCACATATAGCTT